TCGGGAGTGGGGTGCTTCCAGACGTTCTTTCAGTCATATCTGACTCACTGTGATCCCATTTAGGGTTTTCTTGGCAAAGGTACTGGAGTAGTTTGCCATTTCCTTCTCCATTTCATTTCACAGGTGAGGAAACCAAAGCAGACAGGGTTAAGTGACCTGCCTAGGGTCACACAGCTAGAAAGTATCTGAGGCCAGATTTGAACTCAGGGAGATGTCTCCTTGAGCCCAGACCCAGCACTCTAATCACTTGGCCACCTAGCGTCCTGAGAAGATTAGGACTCTAAAAACAATACCACCTCCATGGGAGTGCCAGAAGGGGCAGCTATGGGCAACTGCTGGAGGGCTATAAGCATAGCTGCGAGGCTGAGGGGTCCGTTTCAAGGTTGTTATTGCTCCAAAGGTTTTCCTTGAAAAATCCTCTCTCCTTTTCATTTAGGACACGGGGCAGCCAACAGAGTGGATTTCACGCTAACACTCTCAGTGTAGACTGTTCTAAGTTGCCAATAACCATAAGGCCCTTCGTAAATAATCAGATGTGGCGGCTTGATGGTAGGATCCAATCCAAACAAGCAGTGATCAAGAGCCTACCTGGTGCCGGGTGCTCTGCTAGAAGTTGGGAAATGAAAGCAGTCTGCCCTTTGGGAGCTTACGGTCTCCTGGTGGAGACACAGGTCAATATCACATATATAATGATTTTGAGGAGGAAGAAAAGGTTGATAATTTGGGGAATCAGGAAAGATTTCCTGAAGAGTTTCTGTTGTTCAGTTGTGTCTGACTCTCTGTGATTCTGTTTGGGGTTTTCTTGGCAGTGGTTTGCCATTTCCTTCTCCAGCTTATTTTACAGATGAGGCTCTGAAGCAAACAGGGTGAAGTGACTTACCCAGGGTCACACAGCTAGTAAAAGTCTGAGGCCAGATTTGAAGGAAGATGAGTCTTTCTGACTTCGGAATGGCACTCTGTCCATGGTGCCACCTAGCTGCCCTACTTCCTGAAGAAGTAGGTCTTGAGAAAAAAAAAGAGATTAGCCAAAACCCCTACTATGTATGACTTAGTGGAAAGAGGTCTGGGTTTGGATTGTGCTATTTTTCTGTCATGTGAATGGAAGCACAGCACCTCATTTTTGGAGGGTTCAGTTTCCCAATCCGTGAAATGAAGGGATTAGATTAGGTAATCTCTAAAATCCCTTCTAGTCCTAACATCTCAGAAGGTTATGATGCTTATTAACACAGATTGAAATATGAAAATGATTTTTTTCCAATTGAGGGTTTTAAAATTCATTTACATCGGACTTTACTTATAGGATGAATTGATTAGAATTGGAAGAGGAAATTTCATGGTCATGGAGAGAAGTAAGAATTGATCAGTCGGCAAGTATTTATTAGGCACCAACAGAAGACAGTTCCTGCCCTCCGGGAGCTCACATTCTAATGGGAAAGACAAAATGCAAATAAATATCCCTCTAGGTGCAGGAAAGAGAAATTCAGAGTAGGCAGAAGGTAATCCCAGAGGAAGGCACTGGGGGTTGGGATTAAGGAGGGGAGGGGACTGGGAAAGGCCTTCAGCAGGAGGTGGAATTTGAGCTATCTTAGAAGAAAGAGGGGGAAGCTGGGAGGCAGAGGGAGGAAGAAGAACATCCCAGGCATAGGGGGCAACCAGATTTCTTCTTTTTTTTTCTTTTTAAACTGAGGGGGAAAAAAAACTTAAAAGATTCAACTCTTATTGGGGGGGTGGGGAGCAATTGGAATAAAATAAGAGATAAGGGAGTGTATGGTATCTGGTCTTGGAATCAGGCTACTTAGGGTCTAGACTGGGCTCTGTCCCATTCTGGCCGTGTGAAGCTGGGGAAGTCACCTCAGTTCTCCAGGCCTCACCTTCCTCATTCAATTCCACCAACACTGACGGGGGGCATCTGAGCTCTGCCTTCAAAGAAGAGAAGGACTTCCGTACATAGAGATGGGAAGGCAGACTGTTCAAGGAATGGAGACTGCCCCAAGGAAATGCATTCAGGGCTGAAGAATGGCTCCGAATCCAGTCTGAGTGGGACACAAATTCATGAAGAGAAGTAACACGAAATGAACTTGGAAATACATGTTAGTGGCAGACCACAAAGACCCCTGAGTGCCAGATTATAGAATTTGGGTTGTGTCCTGGGTAATGAGGTGTCCCTGAAGGTTTTGGGACTGGGGAATGATATGTCCAGCCTCTGCATTAGGATGGACTGAAGGAGGCATGTACTATGATGGCCAAGGCCATGGGACCATGCACTTAGAAACAGAGGGATCTGAGAGGTCACCAAGTCTGGCCCCCTCATTTTACAGATGATGATATTGAGTCCAAGAAAACATCTTGTCTAAAGTTATAGAAGTAGTGGCAGAATGAGGATTTGAACCCAAGTCTTCCTGATTCCAAGACTGTCATGTCATCCCGCATGCCATGCTATCTTACCATAATAACAACATTTATAATAAAGGTCTCCTATTGGAAATTCTAGGCTGTTGCTGTTGACATAAAGCTCTGGATTGAGGGAGATCAGTTTTCCAAGGCTCCATGATGGACTCAGTCAATGGTTTGTTGTGATATAAGTTACCATTCTCAATTTCTTTTTTGCTATAGCTTGCTTATCTACAGAGGGTATTATTAATCTATTTTGTAAATCTTGATTAGCTAAAGACCTCCAGGCATATCAAGATACTTGGATGAAGTCATTATTTGATTGCTAGGTTAATCTTGCCAAATTAATCTATTCAACTAATTTTAATTGAAAACCTTCTATTCATGCTGCCATTGCTAGGCATTTATACAAGAATAAGTCCCATGAAGGCAGGAACTGTAGCTTATCTCAATTTTGTATCTCCCCCAACACCTAGCACTATGTTCTGTATGCAAGAAATGTGCAAATAAAATAACTATTTGTTGAAGGAAGAAAGGGAAGAAGGAAAGAAGGAAGAAAGGAAGAAAAGGAAGAATGACAGAGGAAACTATGAATAGCACAACATAAATGTATCCTTTATTGTTTATTGTTTGAGATAAATCTCTCATAGACTCCTTTCAGAGGAAATTAGTTTTTTCATGTCCTACCACTATTCCATTCATTGGGATGTGGGCAAATTTGAGCAGTGGAGGTTAAAACCTTTACTTGTGAGCTAGCTTTGTTTTTATGATCCTAAAGGAAAAAAAAATTAATCCGTGAAGACAAATGAGCAATTTACTAGAACAGCCTATATAACTGGTGGTGGGTTCTCTGTGTGCCGTTACAAAGAAAGATTACTTGCTGAAAGTTCCCATTTGTTATCTGCTTTTCTAGGGCAAGGACAACTGAGTACTTATGGAAGATTATGAAGGAGACTAGGAAGGAGTGATCTACCTGTTGTGAATCTAGTAACCATGACACTTAAGCAAATGAAATAAAATACAGTACAATCCAATACAAGAGGCATTTATTAAGCATATACTTCATGTAAGACACTGGAGATAGGAAGATAAATGAGGAAGCACTGTGCTGGGGAGATAAAACCTCTAAACACATAAGGATACATGTGATTATTGGAGGGAGAAACGACTAACAGCTCAGGTTTTAGTAAAAGCTTCCCATAATACATGACCTGAAACTTGAAGGAAGACAGGAATTCTAAGAAGCAGAAATGAGGAGGGAGCGGATTCCATGTCTGGGGGACAGCTAGTGCACAGTCACAGAAGTGGGAGGTAGAATGCTGAATGAGTTCAGGGAACAGTAAGCACATAAGCCAGTTTGGCCAAATGGGAAGCTCAGGAGTCAGTTGACAAACATTT